ATTCACTGATGGTGGTTCCACTCTCCTATAGATTTACTTCTTAGTTTAGCATCTCATCTATCAACAAAATGTAATTCTTAGCTATTATTTATTAAACAGATGTGTCAAAAGTAAATCTTATCAAGCCTTTTAATCAAGCAAAAGTGTAAAAGTACATTTTAAAAAATATTTAAGGCATAAAAGTAATGCAGGGAAAATGTTAAGGCCAGAAGCTTTCCTGCTCTACTCTATTAAAGGAACATTTTTCTACAATTCTGGGTGATAACTTCCTTAGACTTTATTTTCTTAGTTTTATAACTAATAGTAGGAGTGTCAAATTTTAACTTTGCATCATCTTAAAAACTTGTTATTTTGGTTTGTGGTGAACAACAAGTTGGGGCAGCACCGAGTCCAACCACATAGAAATGAATTGTCTGGATGAAACTGATTATTTTTTATTGTTTTAATTTTGTTAAATACCATAATGCCAGTATTAAAATGAGTTAAATGAAACAAAACTAAACTAGTTCATTTTTAAAATGTAAGTAGAAAGTTGTTTGAAAAATAATTACTCCAGTAAAGTATAGATAGCAAAAATGTCTACTTAGGTAAAGTAACACACTATATGTACTTTATTAGTTGACCAGGGGCGGAGCTACATGGGGGGCCAGGGATGGCCATGGCAACCTCTCCCATTCTTTTCCCTATAATACAGACAGTGGCAGCAGTAATACTCTCAAAATTAAAACATTTTAATTGACACATGGTTAATTATGAACATAAATATACTAACTTTAAAAGGGTGATGAATGATTCTATAGGGTCCTTAAGGTCTCTGAATAGGGTGTGTATCATTGGTTGGGCTGAAAATGGCATATTTGCTGTTCTATGAGCCCTAATGCAGCCTGGTTAAAAGCCTAAAATTAAACGACAGGTTTTCATCTAGGTTTTCTGTTATATGGGGTAAAGAGAAATGCAAAAAAATGCACATCTTCAGTTAAATACACAGATAAATAACAATTTTAATAAAAAAGTAGTAAATAAAAAAAAAATTGTCGATATTAGTTCTTGTAAATCTCAATTTTATGCAGAGTAAATATTGATAAAAGTAGGTAAGTAATGACAATGGAAAAGATCCGACCCAGAACTCACACCTGAAACAACTTTATCCACTATATTTCATAACTAGGAAGTACGGATGTTTAAATATATGCGTCTATTTGTTAGCAAAGGTTTGAAGAAAGTATAGTTAGCCTTTCTTTGGAAAATATGGATGTTGTGGTTGTTAATTTTCCTGTTGGAACAGTATAGTTTGACCCTGAGGTCAGTGGTGTTAAAAGTTCCCACATTTGTTACTTAATTAGAATTATAGATACTGCAGTTTAAAAACACTCTGGTAAAAGTTGAAGTATCAACTTGACCTCTTTACTCAAGTAAAAGAGAAAAAGTATGCGCTCCAAAAACTACTTAAAGTATAAAACTATAAAGTAACCTTTGAAAAAAACAGCCAGATGCCGCTAGATGAATTGAAAGCTCAATTTTTTGACTATTTCTAAAAATTCTCTGAGATAGGGCCGAGGATGAGGGAGGTCTTGTTGGTCTCCGTCTCCCGATACGTTCTCGCCTGTGTCCGACCTTTCAGACATTTCAACATCTTTTTCTGAATCCCACATTGTAGCATGGCATAGACAATTCACGTTAGCAGTTTGAAGAACACCTGCTAGC